TTGTTTTTGTTATGTTTTGTTTTAAAATAATGGTGATAAAGGTGATAATGGTGACAAACATATCTTACCCAAAAGGGAGAAAATCTGATTGAAATCATCATTACAAAGCCCAGTTGAAGCTTAGCTTTTTTGATTACATCAGTTCACCCTGGTTCCACCAGCTGCCACATCACCCCCACCCCCATTACAGTGAATCTCTAGGAGGTATCTGCTTTAAAAAAAAAAAAAAAAGGGAAAACCTGCTTTCCTAAGATAAGAATGGCCTGTTATTTTCTCATCTATAAAGTGGGGCAACAACAGAACCAATTTTGGTGGGTTGTTGAGAGGGCCATGTGAGGGCCAGTACCCACAGGACCGCTCCAAAAGCAGAGATTTTGTTTGTTTTTGTTGTGTTTTGTTTTTAAATAATGGTGATAAAGGTGATAATGGTGACAAACATATCTTACCCAAAAGGGAGAAAATCTGATTGAAATCGTCATTACAAAGCCCAGTTGAAGCTTAGCTTTTTTGATCAAAGTGGTAATAGGGTCAAGTATGCTTAAAGGTCAGCAGTGATTCTCAGTAGATGAAACATCAGAGCCACTGTGTTCAAAACATCAGTTCACCCTGGTTCCACCAGCTGCCACATCACCCCCACCCCCATTACAGTGCCTCTCTAGGAGGTATCTGCATTTAAAAAAAAAAAAGGGAAAACCTGCTTTCCTAAGATAAGAATGGCCTGTAGGCACTTGTAGAAATATCTTTCCTGACTTCTGGAGATTCTGCTTTAGGGGGTTGGGGGTGGCTTCTGGAACTTGCATTTTTAAACAGGTGCTTCTTTTTTTAAAAAAATTGAAGTATATTTGGTTTACAATGTTGTATATAGCACAGTGATTCAGATTCTTTTCCCTTATGGGTTATTACAAAATATTTATCAGAGTTTCCTGTGATATATAGTAGATCCTTGTTGGTTATCCATGGAACTGGCACAAAAACAGACACAGAGATCAATGGAACAGGAGAGAAAGCCTATAAATGAACCCACGCACCTGTGGTCATTTATCTCTGACAAAGGAGGCAAGAATATACAATGGAGAAAAAGACAAGTCTCTTCAAAAAGTGGTGCTGGGAAAACTGGACACCTACATGTTAGAGAATGAAATTAGAACATTCTCCACACCACACACAAAAATAAATAGGGTCTTCTTTCGAAAAGTTACAGAAGCACTGATTTGAAGCAAACTTGACCTTCTCAGGGAGACAGAATCCTTGGCGCCATCTAGCTAGTCATAAGCCTTCTTTTTTACTACTTGCAATTCTTTGTTATGGCTCTGTCTCCAGCCAGGAGTCTGGAAATATTCATGGTGTGGAGACCTGAGAGTTGTGTTTGGAGATTACAGGGCATAAAATGTTAGTTGGTGTGTTTATGTGTTTATACAAACAATGCACTTCTGAAAACTACCCAAGATGATGGTGGAAAAAGAAGGGTTGGCTAAAATTGTAGAAGTTGGGGGCTGAGACAGTGCTCAGGGAAATATTATCTCTGACACTAAATAAAACAAAAGGATTAGGGGATACCCTCACAGACAGATGGGGAGCATTCAGGACTCCACCTGAATGGAGAGCCCTGCAACTGAAAGGGGGAGTCTCCACTTCAGTTATCTTCCAAGACAGTGTATCTTCACCGACTGCTTCCGTCTGAGAATTCTGGGAGCACCAACCTTTCCCACATGCTTTAAGCCTAGAAGATGCTAGAGCCTGTCCTACTACCTGTGGGACAAGAAGAGGTCTCTTAGCCAGCCCTAGTGAGACATGAGCCAGGGGAGGCTAACGCTCTCATTACCCACCACCCCCACTCTTTAGAAGTACCATGCACCCCATCCCAGCCTCTCCTGTCTGTCTCCTCCCTGGGCTGGCTGCCAATGGGACAGCTTTGCTTGCTGGACCCCACGCTGCTGGTGCCTGAGCTTCTCCCATATGATTTCTCTTATGGGAACTTGAAAATAACTTGAACAGTATCACGCTCAAGAAGTCCCATTTTGAGGAACCATCCATACCAGGCATGGTGAAGTTTGTAATGAGCCATTAATGGATTAACAACATTCTTCCAAGACCAGACCAGGATCACTAGATAGTGCAGGAACTGAACAAGTCCTCACAAAATGGTTTTGTGAAAACAAAACAACAGCAATGAGAATATGCAACTCCGTGAATGTACTAAAGACTACCGAGTTGTGAATGTACTAAAGACTACCGAGTTGTGCACTTCAAGTGGGTGAATCATATGGTATGAGAATTATATCTTAATGAAACTGTCACCCACCTACTCCCTCCCTCCAAAGGTAGAAGAATTAAAAAAGTGAAATGGAGATGATGGTTTCCTGGAAAGGTAGTTTCTCGTTTTTAGACATAATGGACTTGGTTTTCCCTCCTATTCTGTTTAGAAACTACCAGAATGTGATCATCTATGAGCACCACAGAACCTGACCCACCCCCACCTCTACAAACCATGACACGATTTAAGAGGGTGAGATTTGACAAATTCCCAAAGAGCCAAAGAGGCTAACCATCACTTCTCAGGATGGGTTTGCAGTCTGAATCCCAACTAGTATTAATAATAGTGGCTCTGTGTGTGTGTGTGTGTTCAGTTGCTCAATCATGGCCGACTCTTTGTGACCACATGGACTATAGCCCACTAGGCTCCCCTGTCCCTGGGATTTTCCAGGCAAGAATATTGGAGTGGGTTGCCATTTCCTCCTCCAGGGATCTTCCCAACCCAGGGATCAAACCATCGTCTCTTGTACTGCAGGTGAATTCTTTACAGCTGAGCCACTGGTGAAGCCCAATAATAGTAGCTAGTGCTTAGCAAAGCACATGCCAGGCCCTGCCTAAGCACTCTCTAGGCTCACGAGGACCCTATAAGGTAGTGCTGAATTTCACATAGAAAACTGAATCCAGCTTGAGAAACTGCCCGAAGTCACACAGCTTTAAGTCTGAACCAGAGGCCAACTGCACGGTTCTAACTCTGGCTGCACACTGCAATTATCTGGAGAGCTAGACAATCCACTGGGTGGTTCCTGGTCCTGGAGATTCTGACTTGATTGATTTGGGGGTGTGGCTTGAGCATCAGGCTTTTGTCTTTGTTTTGATTATAGTGCAGAGCTGATTTCAGTAAGACCCGCTCTAGGGCCCAGGGTCCCTGGGAAAGAGGCCGTTCACTCCTCAGAGGCACCACGGCCATGGGTCTGGGCAACTGTTGCTGGCAGCAGGGCTAAATCCCTCCAGATGGGGTTAATAGAAGGAAGAAGGGTATGAGTTTCAGAACAGTGGCCATGGCTAGCAGTTTCCACATAATCTGTCAGGCCCTGTATGATCCTTGACCTTTGCTAGCTGCCCCTCCTCACAGCTGGAAGCCACAAAACCCATCCCACCCGAGCCCTCTGCCCACTTCTCACCCTGGGCAGGGTGGGGGTGGGGAAGGCTCGAGGCAACATCAGCTCAAGAATGTGTGTCAACAGCAAGAATAACAGCAAGCATTCCCGGCTGCAAATCCAGCCAACCCACTGCTAAATCCCTGAAACTGACTTCTGGACTTTGTCCTGGGTCTGCCAAGTGACTGGGTTAACAGACGTATGACTGCACGAGTGCCCAGCTCCTGTGTGAAGTCCTCGCCGGGAACACAGCTCCCCTTCTCAGGTGCGGCCCTGCCTTTCACGCAGGGACAAGTCTCTCTTCAGGCTTTGACCCCGTGCTGCTCCTTTATAATTAAGAGTTCCAAGTTCCTATCCCACCACCATTCCTCCCAGGGTCTCCCTCAGGTTAGTTTTGCACTGACCTTCTTTAGAGGCCTGGCAGGCTTTTTTTGTTGTTTAATCAGGCTGCCTCCTACGAAACAACCCTCTTCAAGACCCAAACACTTGCCCAGAGTTTACATTTTCAAATCTGTTTAAGGGTCAGCCCTTCATAATAGTGACACAGAATTCTCTGAAGTTAATACAGAAGTTGGGCTAGAAACACACAGTGAAAGTATTGGACTAAAGCAGTCAAGGAAAGAAAGTGGGAAACAGAGGCCCCACCCTCAGTTCAGTCGCTCAGTCGTGTCCCACTCTCTGCGACCTCCTGGACTGCAGTACGCCAGGCCTCCCTGTCCATCACCAACTCCTGGAGTTCACTCAAACTCATGTCCATTGATTCAGTGATGCCATCCAACCATCTCATCCTCTGTCATCCCCTTCTCCTCCCACCTCCAATCTTTCAAAGCATCAGGGTCTTTTCCAATGAGTCAGTTCTTCGCATCAGGTGGCCAAAGTACTGGAGTTTCAGCTTCAGCATTAGTCCTTCCAATGAATACTCAGGCCTGATTTCCTTTAGGATGGACCGGTTGGATCCCCTTGCAGTCCAAGGGCCTCTCGAGTCTTCTCCAACACCCTCTCGTGCCCTCCTCCCCACCCTGGCCTGGCTTCCTGCCCATCTCTCTACCAGAAGGAGGGCTGCAGGAAGGAAGCCCAGTCTCCCCCAACAAGTTTGGCAGGAGATGGGCTAAACGCTTCTGAAAAAATGGAAGCCTGGCTAACCGTCACCCCCCCACCCCCCGGGTTCCACTGTTGACCTCTGCCCTCAGTACAGCTTGTGGTTCAGCCCACAAGCTCTGCCCTGAGGCCTCCCAACTCCTCACTGCTGGCTCCTTCTCAGGCCTCTCAGCTTTGCCTTTTAGAAACCCTGTTCCATCCCACAACGCTTGTAGCTCTTGTCCAAATCTCCCTCTTCTTCTCACTTCAGCTAAGGAAGGACGCAACTGCCCAGTGCCCCTCTGAGGGAGGCTGTTTTCCCTCACACATACAGTTTATTTCAGGCCTGGAAGCCATTGCTGATATTCTTGTAACTTCTTATTGCTGTTTATTGGCTAATGCATATTCACCCTCTAGAAAACAGTCCTTTGAAATCTGGGTTGCTCTTCATACACTATCAGTAACGTTCTGGATTAGTTTCTCTGCTGACAAAAAGCTTAAAATAACAGTGTCTCAAACATATTATTTTAGTAAGTCAAAGAATTCTCAGAGGTAGGCGGTCCAGGGTGGGTAAGTTGGCTTCATGAAGAGTTAGGACGCAGACTGAGTCTCCTGTGGTGCGTTGCCTTTCGTCCTCGTGGCCCAGCTTGCCGCGGTAAGTTTCAGTCAACACCATGGAGTCCCAGGTCGGCTTCCAGAAGGACCCCGGAATGGTCGCTTGGCCACTCCAAGCTGCCAGTTGGAACGGGCAATGTGGTTTTAAAAAATTCTGGGTGACAACGGTTCCAGCTAAAGAACCCAACTCCTGTTGCTGAAGAGGAAGGGGCGGATGGATACCTGGAGGCAGCTCTCCATGGCTCCCCCGCCGTCCACTGCGTGCCCGACGGCTGCCTCCCCCTGCCTCCCCCTGCCTGTCTTCCCTCAAGCTCTGAGGACTTCGGGCCCGTGTCCCTCTGACTTTGCCACCATCGTGGACCCCTCGGCGTCGGGGTCAGTGAGCCTCTCTCTACGTCATCAGTCCGTGCCGCTCCCCCTCCCTACGTCCACAGCTTGGACCTTGTCGTCCCAGCTCTAAAGTGTGGTCTGAACCCCGCCTGTCACCGTCCCCTGGCTCTCCTGCCTCCCGCCAGTCTGTTCTGGGGCCTCCCTAGCATCGTCATTCCCTCGCCTTCTTGCAGCTGCCATGTTCAGTCTCCTCCCCACGGTCCTGCGGTTCTCTCTCCTCACTCCCAGGACCCTCCCAGGCCCAGGGCCCAGGCCCACGTCCATCGCAGGGCCAAGGAGAGACCCAACCCGGCTTTCAGGACAGCTGCCTGCAGTGCTGCTTTTAGCCTCTCACGTGGACGTGGTCCCTCTTTCTCCCATTTGCCTTTCCCGCTCTGTGTGTTAGTCGCTCTGTTGTGTCCGACTCTTTGTGACCCCATGGACTGTAGCCCGCCAGGCTCCTCTGTCCATGGGATTCTCCAGGCAAGAGTACTGGAGTGGGTTGCCATGCCCTCCTCCAGGGAATCTTCCCAATCCAGGGATCGAACCCAGGTCTCCTGCATTGCAGGCAGATTCTATACCGTCTGAGCCAACAGCCCTTGGCTTCCCTAGTTCAATGCTAGCACTTTCCTCAGGTCCTCCCCACACCTGCACCCCCACCTCAGGAATGACCCTTCTTCCTATTTTTAAGAAAAAGTGTCCTACCAATATAAAAAAAAATAAAAGGGGTCCTCAGGGGTGACTCCTCCACTTTCTGTCCCTCAAGCTTCTGGGACCAGACTTTTCCTTCTGTGCCATCTCCTGGTGGAGCTACAGCACCCTGCCTCCCCCCGGGTTACCACACCTTTGAGTGTCCTGGAGTTCCTATACCTTCAGGCTCGTCTTCACTGGCTTCCTCCTCCCTGAACATAAATATGAGGAGCTCTCCCTCATGTATCTCTGCCCAGAGGAGAGGTCCTCTCACAGCCTGTGGTGTGGGGAAGTCTCCTCCCTCCTTCTCTCCTTCCTCACTCCCACTCATACTATTTCCTGGACACCCACCCTGACAGGCCTCCCCTGGTGACTCCTAGGGGCAGGACTCACTATTAGCCTCACCACCCCACCCCCAATTCTCTGTTCCCTTAGCTTTCCAGGCACCCCTCTTTCTTCAGTCGCCTCTTCTGTATTTCCCAGGCCAGCTGCTTTCCTCTTCCTGTGGGTAAAGGTAATTCATGGTTTTCACAAAATGGGGGCTGACCCCGGGGCCAGGCCCACGTCACAGATCTAACAGATCTAAGGCAGCATCTATGGGACACACCTCACTGTCAAGGAAACCTAACACATCACCAATCACAAGTCTCTAACTTGGCTTTAGATTACCTCACTCTAGAAAAGAGCACCTGCTGGCCTTATAAGGACATACTGACCTCCTAGCCAACCATGCCTTGTTTCCTGTCCTCACTTCTAGGCTCTATAAACCTACTCTTGCCAGAATCCCTGGGGAGGAGGGCTCCTCTGCTGTGAGACACTGCACTCTTCCCACCCCTGGACTGTTTCCCCTTGAACAAAGGACCTCACACTCATTACCAAATTGCTTTGTTATTGATGTTCAGCGGTGTCTTGGAGATGCAAGTTCTCCAGCCTTCCTCCCAGGCCCCTCTGCTCTCTCAGGGGCCATGTTCCCCACCGAGCTCCTTCACACTCAGGGGTTCAGCTGCTCCCTGCATTCCAGCAGGGCTGGGATGAAAGAAGTTTGAAGAAAGCTAAGTTCATCCAGTTCTCAGGCATGTTTGGGCCTGTCCAGTAGACAGACTTGCCCAGGTCTATTTGTAAGGGAACCAGGGGGGTCTCCTGCAAAGAACCCAGCTATTGTTTCATTCCCCCATCACAATCGACCAACAGATCTACCTCAACACATAGTCCTGAGCATTCTTGTAGGCACTAGGGGGTCAGAGGGGACTAAACTAAACAGATAAAATTTTGGTCTTTGTGGAAATACACATAAACAAGAACAAGTAAGCTATGATGTGAGAAACACTAAGGAGAAAAATTAAGCAGGTGTGGAGGTAAAAGTGTGTGTGTGTGTGTGTGTGTGTGTGTGTGTGTATACAGGTGCTGACATCTGAGATGGTGTAATCACTGAGACTGCGAGCAGACTGAAGAGGGGGTGGGTGGCCACATGCAGGGAGAATATTCCAGGCTGAGGGAACAGCAAGTGCAAAGGTCCTTTGCCTGAGGACTGGAGGAGCAGTGGGAATAAGGACAAGCAGCCCAGAGTCTAGGTCAGAGCATCACCGGCGTTTGTGGGGGGTGGTGGTCATGTTAAGGCTGAGACCACAGGGCTTTGGAAGGACTTAGGTTTTACTCTGAGGTGGGAAGACGAGGTTTCAGCAGAGCCCTGCCTGGTGAATGGTTTATTCATGCTACTGTGTTAAGACTGGACTGAAGGGCAGAAACAGGAGGGTCAGTTGGGAAGCTGTGGCAATAACCCAGGCAAGAGATAGTGGTGGCTGGGTCTGAGGCTGGGGACACTGGAGGCGATGAGAAGTGGTTAGAATCTTCCTGGGAGTCGAGGGTTGTGCTAACAGAATGATCATGCTTGGGCCCACAGGCTGGATGATCCAGACTCTCGGTACCGATCCTTGTCTACTTGGATCATATCTTCAGATTGCCCAGTCTGGGTGGACTAGAGACTGTGCTTTCCCCTGAAGCAAACTGATATTCTCAGAGTCAGTCATTATGGAAAGATGCTAATATGGGGTAGGATTGGAGGCAGGTTTGGACGGGGGCTAGGGTGTCCATGGGGCTTGCCTCTGCAGGTGTGGAGGTGCTTGGGACATTCCTGGTGATGGTGGGGTGGTGGCGATGGTAGTGATGGGGGCAGGGCGGAGGGCGGGCTGCGTTAGCCCTGCTCTAGCTGGGACCTGGCCTCCTGTGGGTTTTTATCTTTACCTGCTTGTGGAACATTCGCTTTTCCAATGCAGACATCGATGCCATTGCCAGTGGGCCTTGGCCCCAGTGGGTCAGAGCTGGAGCCATGATTCTTGGGTGGGCATCGGGACCCAGGCATGGCTCTGAGCCTGGGTGGTCCCTGGTGAGCGGGAACGAGGAGGGGAGAGCCGTGGAAACCGCGGGGCCGCAGAGGTCTAGTTCAAGAAGTGAGTTCGTATGAGTGAGCAAGCTCAAGTGTTCCTGGGCTGTGTCTGAGAGGAACTGGAGTTCCCCGGGAGGGGGGGAGACGCAGGCCGAGGAGGCCGTCCTGGTGACTCACTGTCACGCTCCTTTTCACTCCAGACTCCTGTTGCCTGGGAAGCGTGCCTTCTAGTCAGCTGACTCCTGCTGTCTCCCCAGGCCAGCTTGCTCTCCGGTACCCACACCTCTGGGCACCCTGGCTTCTGGCATCCGAGCTCTCAGACCTGGCGTGTCCTCCCTTGCTGCCCCCTCTCTCTCCGCTCTCAGTGTCCGGGGCAATGACCCCCTACCCCCCGGCCAGCCGCCCCGCCAGAGCCTGGAGGGCAGCCCAGCTCCCGTCACACCCAATTCATCATCGGCTCCGAGTGTCACCTGCTAAACACCGCTCGATCCCCTTGCCTTTCTTTCCACCCTCGCAGCAGCCCTGGCCACGGTCCTGGGGTGGCCCCTGTCAGGTTACTCTCCCGGTCATGTCCTCCTTCCCGTCCTCCTCACCCCAGGGTGCCCAGAGTGCCTCCGGAGTCGGGTGTCCGTCCTGCTCCCCCTGGGTCTGTGGCTGCCCCTCACCCTGGGGACTGCCGGGCACACGAGGCCTGGCCACCTGTCTAGCCTCTCTGAGCACTGTGGGGGTGGGGAGCGGGGAGGCTATGCCCAACATCTAAACAAGGAGGAATTTCTGCCTCCCTAGCCCTTGTAGCTCAGTCGGTACAGAATCACCTGCAGTGAAGGACACCCAGGTTCGATTCCTGGGTTGGGAAGATCGCCTGGAGGAGGGCATGGCAACCCACTCCAGTATTCTTGCCTGGAGAATCCCATGGACAGAGGAGCCTGGTGGGCTACAGTCCATGGGGTTGCAAAGAGTTGGACAAGACTGAGCGACTACACTTTCACTTTTAAGGGAACTGTAGGGAAGGANCCCCCCGCCCCTCCCACCGCCACCCCACCGACCCTGTTCTCCTGGGGCTGGAGGGGGCTCTTTGTGACCCAGGAGGAAGAACCCGGAACCCTCAGCCAGCTGTTTCCCTGTTTGTCCTGTAGAAACATGCATTCAATGCATTTGCCAGTGTTTATTGACTAGGTTGGGATTCACTTTGGGAAGGGGGAAGCCTGTGGTTTTAGGTAGTAAGAATCCAGTTTAGGGGGGAATCCTTAGAAGGCCCATTACCTCTAGAATACTGTCTATTATTCCCCTAAGTGAAGTGAAAATCCCTAAGTTGTGTCTAACTCTTTGCGATCGCATGGACTACAGCCCCCCAGGCTCCTCTGTCCATGGGGATTCTCCAGGCAGAAATACTGGAGTGGGTTGCCGTTCCCTTCTCCAAGGGGTCTTCCCAGCCCAGGGATTGAACCCAGATCTCCCACATTGCAGGCAGATTCTTGACCATCTGAAACACCAGGGATGTCCATTATTCCCCTAAAGCCCTAGCCAAACCAGGGTCTTTCACACCTCCGGGCTTCAGCATCTGCTCTTCCCTCCCTGAAATGACTCATCCTTCTTGTGGCAATTTCTCTTTTGTTCCCAGGCTCCCTCAGGCTCTGCATCAGCCATGGGGTCTCCCCAACCCACTCCTGCGCTCCAGTGCTCCTTCCCCAGGCGTCCCCCAACCTGGGTGCCTTCTAGTCTCGCAAGTACCTAATTCTACTGCAGTGTTTGTGCCTAATCCACTCCCTTGCTTCCTTTTCATTTTTGTATCCCTTGCTCCTAGCACAGGGTCTGGCCTACAGTATTTTGCTTGGTAAAAGTCTGCTG